TTTCTTGTGGATGGATGGATCTTATGGACCCTCAAGTATAGGTAATCATTCGTTAATTTCTATATTCGCCACCTAATAATTGGCGTTTGAAACACATATCAATTTTAATTTTCATACCGAAATTTTTCAATAAATGGATTATTACGTAAGTACAAGGTAATGAAAACATTAACAAACGCACCCAATTAACTTACAAATGTGAGAAAAGGGCGCGAAAACAGTTCTCTCGTGAAGTCCGTCGACAATGAAGCAGTTCAGTCTGTAGCGTCGGTACAATCCAATCCCAGATTTTCTGCTCGACTGGAGTAAAATGCGGATTAATGAAGCTTAGCAGGATGGGGTCGCACACGCCCTTCATACCACAATCTAGGCCTGATTGGCCATGACCACAACTTTGCTCTTTTGTAAGGTTGATTCGATGATCAATTATTATAACAAATAGGTGAACCGTCATCGATAATTTGAATGATAAAGACTATTTGAATCCATCGAGTCCATTAAATGAATAGTGATAATGTGCAATTATTTCTCATAGACCGAATTTCAGTTAAAAATATATTTCACCTTTTAAATAAAGCAATAATCGCTATATTTTCACTATTATTTGTTAAAATATATAAGATGGAATACTAGTTTAAAATAATAAAATAAAATACTTCGGTGGAAAGATTTATATAATGGTTTTTTATTTCATAATTAGTGGAAGGTACTTCTTAGAGATGAAAATAGTTTCAGTATGTAAATCTACACTACTCTGGGTTTCTAGTGTTTTCAAGAATTAAATCAAGAAGGTAAAACCGACCAGATATGATATTTAAATAATGTTGCAATAAATTTTAAAGATACCTCGTTTTATTGTGTGAAGGGAAATATCTGACGATAGATCTTTTGAAATTTAATTTGACTAGGTTTTTAAGCTTAAGGGCGGATGTAACATAATTAGGCCGCTTACTGGCTGAAAACTGGTGGAAAACAGGATCTCTATAAAATAAAATAAAACAATTATCTAAATTGATTTATATAATTGTTCAAAAAAAGCCTGAAATTGTGAGTTCAAGTACAAAAATATGTCGCAAAATCGTAGGGCAATAAAACAGTTAAAAGTGATTTTAAATATCATCTAAGGGATGAATCAAAGAACCCATGAAAGACAATGTGGAATTTAATAAATAAAAAAACATTACTGTAATAATAATCCAAATAAAAATGATGTGATAAAATTTTACGAATTAAATTCACTAGTTTCGTGGTTCGCTTGGCCAATTAATATCTTCCAATTAATTAAGTTTTTTAGTTGAGATAAAAAAGTCAGTGTCACGAGCGGGATTCGAAAAATGGCAAAAAGGAGGGAAAATTCAAAATGTTTGGTTGAGATGGGAAGTTAGTGTCCGGGTGGATCGAGGTCACGATAGCTCAGGTGGTTGAGTAGCGGCGTATCTAGACGAAGATCGTGGGTTCGAATCCCGCTCGTGACACTGACTTTTTATCTCAACTAAAAATCTTAATTTTTACGAATTATTCATGATGAATTTATTAGTATTATAATGAATTTGAAAATAGGGGTGATACTTAAACTAATTACTTAAAAAGGGATATTGTGATTTGGTCAAATTATAGACCAACAGCCATTTGCCAGTTTTTGTTAAAATCTTTGAGAAAATTTTGCAGAATCTGCATGTGCCATTTTGGATTATTCCAATCTTCTTTAAGTGTCCATTTAACTTACAGAGTCCTGTTAGGAATCCTATTAGGATTGGCATTTTGTTCCTGCTTCCCTTGAAACATTCTGTAATTTCTTTCCTACCAAAATTGGTTAGAAGATTCTTGGATGTCTGTGTTCAATGAGTGAATTCCAAAATTCCCTCATTTTCTTTTCGTCTTTCTGTCTGAGATACTCATTAATAGTGTGGGTTTCTATGCCACAGAATGGTTCAGGTCCTGTCAGTGATGTAGCAGCTCCTTGCCTTGCAAGGGTGTCTGCTTTCTCATTGATTTCTACTCCCAAGTGTCCTGGGACCCAGCAGAGGCTGACTTTGTTCTGCGAACCTAATATATTTAGATTGGTTTTGCAGTTCAGCACCATCCTTGAACTAATAATATTTGAGCTTAGTGCTTTGATGGTTGCTTTACTTCCTGTTAGAAAAGATCAAATTTCGCTTGACCTACGACTTCCAGCATAGTTACAATGCATCCCAGACTCTCATAGAAAGGTAAAATTTTATCTCCACAGATTTAATATCACTGAGGTTCCACCTGCTGTTTCAAATTTAAAACATTTCGAGGTATTGTATTTTGATAACAGGCATTAAATTGTACAATTTTAACACATAACACATATAACATAAAAGTAATATTAAGTTATGTACTTCCAAATTAGGCTTCTCATGGCAAGAATCGCCTATTTCAGCGTTGTTATCGCTCCCTTTCTTATATACTTCATTTGTATATTATTTCATTTATTTAAACAGCATGTGAAGGAGTATTTGGACCTGGAACCAAATATGTACTTAGAATCCATGGGAAAATACACCAGTATTTTCCAAGCTGAGATTCACGCAATCAAACGAAAGATGTACCTAACTCAACCTAAGTAAAGGGTACAGAAACAAGAATATAGCTATCATGTCAGATAGCCAAGCAACCATCAAAGCACTAAGCTCAAATATCATTAGTTCAAGGATGGTGCTGGACTGCAAAACCAATCTAAACATATTAGGTACGAAGAACAAAGTCCAACCTCTGCTGGGTTCCAGGACACTTGGGAGTAGAAGGCAATGAGAAAGCAGACACCCTTGCAAGGCAAGGAGCCGCTACACCGCTGACAGGACCTGAACCCTTCTGTGGCATAGGAACCCACACTATTAACGAGTATCTCAGACAGAAAGACGAAAAGAAAATGAGGGAATTTTGGAATTCACTCATTGGACACAGACAATCCAAGAATCTAATAACCAATTTTGGTAGGAAAGAAATTACAGAATGTTTCAAGGGAAGCAGGAACAAAATGCCAATCCTAATAGGATTCCTAACAGGACACTGTAAGTTAAATGGACACTTAAAGAAGATTGGAATAATCCAAAATGGCACATGCAGATTCTACAAAATTTTCTCAAAGATTTTAACAAAAACTGGCAAATGGCTGTTGGTCTATAATTTGACCAAATCACAATATCCCTTTTTAAGTAATTAGTTTAAGTATCACCCCTATTTTCAAATTCATTATAATACTAATAAATTCATCATGAATAATTCGTAAAAATTAAGGTTTTTAGTTGAGATAAAAAAGTCACTCTACATCAACAATGAAGGGAAACCGACTACCTCTAACTCAAATATCTAGGACTATACATTGACAGCAGACTGACGTGAAATCCCCACACAAGACTTAAAAGACAACACCTCAACAGAAGACTTGGACAGTTACGCAGACTAAGGTCCAAAATCCGGGTTGACCATCAGCACTAAACTGACCTTATACAAGACTTTACTGCGACCACTTTGGACCTACGGTGTAGAACTGTGGGGTTCTGCCAAACCAACCAATATCCAGCGTATCCAGTCCTTCCAATCAAAAGTCCTCAGAAAAATCGTCAAAGCTCCCTTTTACGTCTCTAACCTCACTATCCACAAAGACCTCAACGTTCCTTTTGTCCACGAACTGATCCATTCCCGACTCCAAAAATTTCATACCAACCTATCGATCCATCCTAACCCTACCGCTAGAGCCCTCTCCACATATTCCCATCCCGAGAATCCACCACGTCGCCTAAAACGACGATGGCCCCGAGACCTCCTTGCCCCTTAATCCATTAAAATGAGTGCCAGCATCAGTGTTAGTGCAGTGACCGAGCGGTGAACAATATACATTCTGATCACATTTGTATTATGTACAAGTATGTATAGGCTACAAATAAATAAATAACAAAAAAATCAATCATGATTTCGTAGTGTATATGGTCATCGATTTGCACAACGTTCCAATGCAACGGTACGAATAGTTCGTTACTTCTTACTAGCTATTTTCTATGTAGATATTATTGCAATTAACAAATGGACTAAATATGAAATTAAACTGAGGAAAAATAAATTATTACGTTAGGACATTAGGGCGAAGCAGCTGCTCTCTGACAATGCAAGGCCCACCTTGTCATTTCCTAGTTGTTATGTCAATTACCTTTTCTGATCCCTGTTGCTATACGTGTAATTGCTTTCGGCTGCCCTTTTCTTCACCGACAGAAGGGTTAGTCTTTTCCAAAAAATACTAATATTACCGAAGAGGCTTTTGTAGGTAGGACACGCGGAGGGAGCTGAAAAGAACTACTCATTTCCACTAATTCTAGCAGAAGGGATCTTTCTCATGCCGTCAGGTGTTGGTGCAATTGCTGTCGTTCTTCGACGCCGTCTTGATGAATTTTAATTTCATCTTTCTATTCTGTCGTGTTCAAATCAAGACTTCCACGTATTAACACAAGAATTGATATGGTACCCGTACATGCACCATATCGTGTTACTTCACTTTTCACATATTATGTACGGGATCGTAAACATACACTTCGTCACTTAATTAACCACGTGGAGGCCACAAATAATTGGAACGCCATTTGAATAATAAGCCTGTAGTAATACATTTCTAACGGTAATTTTGCAAAACCACCCTTTCACTCTGAGGGATATGTGGTCTGAAGGCACCCTTTAAATGCAGGCGATTTAATAATGGTTCGAATGTACTCGGATTTTGAAAGTGAACCAGTCCGGGCTTCTGTCACGTCTTCCCGGATTGTCGGCCCAAGCTCTGGATTTCTCTTGCGAAAGAAGCGTCCGTCGACAGTGTTGACATCCTCTGGAAGCGAACAGGGTAGTTTTGGGGGAGCAGGTGGCCATTAGCCTCCCGCTAAATTGCTTTCCTCTCGTCGAATAATGAGCGGTAGGCGAGGGCGGGGGCACAAATTACCCATGGTTTGAGGACGAAATTACCCAAATCGTCGCGCAATGTCACTTGCCTGCTGTTCTCCCTTCTGGAAGGAACTCCTTAAAACGTAAGTCTTATCACTATTTACATTTACTATCAATCCATTGCAAAATCGCGCTTGGCTTGCTTGGAGAGGTCACATTAGATCAATGCCGTCCTGCACAAGAGGTCATAAATTTGCATCAAGATAACTTTTTTTTTTGTACGCATACATGGTGCAGATTTACTAAAAGGACAAAGTTTATGCAATTTCCGTGTCACATTTATTATTGCATGTTGTATAGATGAAATCTAGATGGTTCCTGCTCTCTTTGAAATCCAAGGTCATTGTTAAAAACCCAAACTTGATACCTAGACCTGATATAATCTCCCAATGCAATTTAAATTTTAAAATTATTAAATATTTGACTTCTTTTTGTATATGACTGTTTGTAACACAACGACTGAAATAGTTATGCACGTTCTGCCTTTTTCAGCAGAAGAGATCTAAAATGAATATTCAAACATTTCTAGAAGATGCTTTGGTGAATAAACATGCTTGATAACAGTAACAGAAGAAACTAAATAAAATCAATAATGTGCGAACAATAAATCAATATCCATTACTGATTCATTATTCATACTGTCTCAGGTCAATTCATACTGACATTGGCAATGTGTTTGTTGTTTTGCTATTAATGCCAGGATAGAATTATATTTATTTGGTTTTAATGTTGGTTTAACCAGTTTGTTAATTATTGAAACAAAATATATAAATTGGAAATGTATAGATTATTAGATTATTAATTTATTTTGGAAACGTGGACAAATTATTTAAAAACTTGCGTTTAATATGATCTGCCACCCGTTCAGCATTTATTAAATTCAAATATTATTTATTAATACATAGCTTTCGTCCTTCATACTTCTTAACTTTATTATATATCATTTATTACAGCGATATTTATATTACGATATTTATTAGTTTAGGTCAAATATTACAGGTATTAAATTCTCTAGTTTTCGTGGTCCGCTTGACCAATTAATATCTTTCAATTAATTAAGGTTTTTAATTGAGATAAAAAAGTCAGTGTCACGAGCGGGATTCGAACCCACGACCTTCNGACACTAACTTCCCATGTCAACCCCACCTTTCGAATTTTCCCTCTTTTTGCTTTTTTTTATCTCAACTAAAAACCTTAATTAATTGAAAGATATTCATTGGTCAAGCGGACCACGAAAACTAGTGAATATTTAATAAGTTAAATTGAAGTATTTCTTCACTAAAGCTCTCCGTGGCCGTTTCATTTGTCGCCGAGAATCAAACAAACACGACATTTGAAAAATGGCAAACCGGAGGTAAAATTCGAAAGGTGGGATTGAGATGGGAAGTTAGTGTCCGAGTGGATCGAAGTCATGACAGCTGAAGTGGTAGAGCAGCGGCGTATCTAGCCGAAGGTCGTGGGTTCGAATCCCGCTCATGACACTGACTTTTTATCTCAACTAAAAAACCTAATTAATTACTGGCGTTATTCAATTATTGTTATTGATCACTAACATATCATACTTTATGAAGTTTTGGTTAGAACATATAAACCGTGACGTATCTGATCTATAAAATATATAGTTGTATAGTGAAATAAATATAAATAATACCTTTTTTTTGACAGGGGCATCTGACTGCTAGGTCATTTCAGCCCCGAAGCACTAATAAACTACCGCTACACACTCGATACACAATCACACCAATAAATACATTCACACCAACATACACTGATCGCACTCATACTGTTTTGTAGATGAAGTACTCGATATTCCTCCATGGAGTTTCTCTATAATCAACTAATCTAACTTGGGGTCGATGGGGTACTTTTATAAAATGTCCGGTATCGGCCCAAGTCATGCACACAACCTGATTGAAAAGCTATTTCGCCATCAGCCCCTACCTATTCACACCAATAAATACATTCATACAAGACACAGAAACACAAAACCCATAACTTAACTTCTATATATAAAAAAATTCCTAATTCCTTTAAAAAGCGGAATAGGGTACCCTGAAACTCGCTGGTGTGTCCGAGAACCCTTTTTAAATCTGAAAGCATGCCTACTCGCGCGCTATTATTATGTGTTTATTCTGATCTATGTATTATATGAACCAATACTCAAATCAAACTGACAATGCAGTTTAACCTATTGTAAGGCCGTTAATTAAATTAAATTAATTTAATCATTAATATAAATATCATGAAATTATTTTTGTTCAACTTAACATCAAATTTTGTTTTATCCATATTTATTTGCTTTCATTGTCTATAATTGATGCGTAACAAACATACTAGGTTTAAAAAAATTGTTGAGACTAGCCACATAAGAAATATAGTTTTTATTAGTACCATTTTTTTTTTTACTATAGTAAAATAATGTTTTAATTTAAAATTAAAGTAATTAATTACAGTTCGTGGTCCGATTGACCAATTAACATTTTTCAATTAATTAATATTTATGAAAGGTATTGGTCGAGATAAAAAAGTCAGTGTCACGAGCGGGATTCGAACCCACGATCTTCGGCTAAATACGCCGCTGCTCTACTACTTTACCTATCGTGACTTCGATCCGCTCCGACTTTTTTATCTCGACCAATACCTTTCATAAATAAGTCAAAGAGGGTTTGTTTTTTTTTGGTTTTGATCTGTGATCTTATTGTATAGTGATTTAAATTGTAAGATAAGTTAATTGTATATATATGTATATATTTAAGAAACGCACTGTGATCGCATGTACCTGAAAAACAGGAAGGAAGATTTTACTAGTTTTTAGACTTTTATGAGATGCTGAGCCCCAAAAAACATAATGTACTTCTGTGCCCAAAACACCATGTCGTTTATTTCCCCATTAAGGTTTAAGCTCTGAAGATGACAGTATAAAACTGTCGAAAGCTTGGCGAAAACCGAAAGGAAGTTTTCTCTGTGTTTGACCTTTTCCGTAGATCCTCCGAAAAGACTTCATGTTTCCAGCAGGTTGATAATCTAGTTCATCGTTAACCTTTCATAAATATTAATTAATTGAAAAATGTTAATTCATCAATCGGACAACGAAATGTAATGGATTTATACAGTTTATTGTTTCCCAGAAAAGCCAACCTTCCCGTATAAAATAATGACGTATTATTACATAAGACAAACATTTGACTAAATTAAAGCGTAATTCATTATAATTCTTGGTTATAAATATATTCCAATTGTTTGTATTCAAAGGCGTGGCACTAAAAAAGTTAAATGTAAAATTTTAAGATTGGTTTCTTAATGACACGCCTTTTGTTTATCTAGATCAATACCTTTAGAGTAGATACGCCACTACTCTACCACATGAGCTGTCTTGGTTTCGATCCACTCGGCCACTAACTTCCCATCTCAACCTCACCTCAGCTATCGTGACTCAAGTGGTCGAGCAGCGGCGTATTTAGCCGATGATCGTGGGTTCGAATCTCGCTCATGACACTGACTTTTTTATCTCGACCAGTATCTTTCATAAATATTAATATGCAAGTAATATCATCCATAACGTTTTTGTGCACGTAAGAAATAAATAATAAAAGAAATTGCTTGTCGTTTCGATAAATAAATTCCTTACAGTTTAAATAATTTAAAGTCCTAACATGTTCCATGTAGTTGTATTTGAGCGATGTTCAAATGAAAGTAAGACAAATAGGAAGTAACAAGTGATGGGTGTGTAGGAAGGGTTGTCGAACAATGGTTCATTCCGAACCATTACGTCTTGCCTTCTCGATCCCAAGTCCAAAACAACTCATGTGAAAACCCTTTTTGAGCAATTAGACAGAATAATTGTGATTCGCACCCCCTCACCACCGCTACAGCCCTTGGAACAAGGGTTTTTTCTTTGAAGGGAGAAGGGACGTCGCGCGCCCTTTTAATGGAAAAACCTTTTTGTGCAGCTCAACTTTTGTCCTCGCTTTTGAAAGTGGTCCTAATTACAGAGACAAATTACAAAATAACAAAAGCTTTGCTTTCAGTGAATTCCAGGGGATATAATTTTTTCTACTACTGGTTGATCACTCTCGAGTGAAATATAAGAATATTTCAACTCATATTGCAAAAGCGTGTCCATTTTAAACCGTACCTACGCATAAAGAAAGGGTTTATTAATTAATCAAATTACTACTATGCTGTTTTTGTATTGTTTAACCTCTTGAGAAATTTCATACCAAATAAACATTATTACAAAATAATTACTAAATATTATATATATTACCTACCTTTATTATAATGGTTGCTATTCATTGACTATGTGCCACATGGTCTTAAAGATAAAAGATAACAAAATAAATTAACTTGCCTACCTTGTGATTTTAGGCTTTTGGTTCGCAAAGTTCTTACTTGATACTGAAAATCTTCGCTTGATTAACCGTAACATTTAATCCGTTCTTAATCCTGAAATATTGATATTTTGGACGCGGTGCAACGAAAAATAGCGTTATGTTGAGGGGAAAAAAGAAAATTAAGTCACAAGTGAAAAAAAACCTTCTAAAGGTAATAATAAGAAAGGCACAGGGAATGGGTGTACAGCCTGGAGTTTTTAAAACGCTCTAAGGAAGTTAACTAGATAATAATTCACCAATATTGCCAATAAACGATTTGCTTAGTCTTACATCCAAAGAGAGGGAAAATTGCAAAATAATTATGGCATTAAAAGTTGGAAAACCTCCAGAAGTCCTATAAGCTCTCGGACATGGATGTCACGGGCCTTTCTGCAACATTTATATCACCGAAATATGAGGAGACAGCAAAACATAGCAGCCTTTGAACCTTAGGTGCCAAATCCTGATCTGAGAAATAATTTTTTGATTTATTGTTGTAACGTGCTGATTTTCATTATTTTTCTAGTCCAATAAATATTTAAATTGGTGTACGATCGTTTTATACATTACCAAAGAAAGTGCCATTTTGACATTATTGTATTTTTACTTTTGGCCAGGGCAACTGTATAAATTAATTTATGCTGATCTGCCTCTATTGGTGTCCACGTGAATGTTGTCATTGGAATTGTGAATATTGAATATAAAAATCT